TCCGAATCGCCACCAGGTTCACCTTCGAGTCATGACAACCTCAGTGCCTTTGATAATGCCATGCGACACTGGGAGGTTGCCATACGGCAGTACTCGGAAGCTATCAATGCGCTCGTTCACATGGACAACCAGGATCAGAGGTCGAACCGAGGACGTCTCATGGCCAGCGTTCTCCTCGCTTGTTTTGATTCCTTTGTTGGTGACCACAAGCAAGCCATCGTGCAAATCCAGAACGGCCTGGGCTTGTTGGAGAAGCTCCGGGCAGAGCGAAGGCAGTCCTTCTACGTTGGATCCGAAGAACCTGTGGAACAAGAGCTCATCACCATGTTTACGCGACTCGCGATTCAAGCCAAGTCTTACGACATGGCATTTCACTTCCCGCAGCCGTACGTCATTCGCCTGACGCCGCAGTCATCGGACCCGTCATCGTCGCCGCCGTCTGATGCGGGAAGCTCACCATCATCCCTGAACCCTTCGGATATCCCTGATCGCTTTTTCACCTTGATGGAAGCACGGCTGACATACGACAAGCTTCTCGAGAAGATGTTGCGGTTCACAGAGACGCTGTTCAGCTACTCACAAGCCAGCGGAGCCAACAATCCAATGGGCATCCTTCCGAAATCTCTCCAGCAGTATGGCCTGAGCTTCAAGGGTCAGCTGGACGCTTGGGCCGTGGCATTTGAGCCCATCCTGCAGTCTCGCACGGCGCCGAGCGTCACACATCAGGAAAAGGCTGGCATTGCGGTGCTCAAAATGTTCCACATTATGAGCCAGATTCTGTACCTCATGACGTTCAGCGACAATGAGTCGCAATTCGACATGTTTCAGACGCAGTTCAAGACGATAGTCGACCTCGCGCTGGAGGTGGTAGGTGACGAGGAGCGGCGAGCGGCAGCTAAGCGATGCCCCAACCCGGAGCTATGCCAGCATCGGCAAGCGTACAGGCCGGACATTTTCGGAGGACGCGAGTACACCACGCACCACATCAAACCAAGCTTTAGCGCCGACCTGGGTATTGTGCCACCTCTGTTTGTGGTGGCGACCAAGTGCAGGAACGCTGTGACACGACGACAGGCCATCCAGTTGTTGCGCAGCAGCGCGCGGCGAGAGGGCATGTGGGACAGCGAGCTGACGGCACGGATCGGGCACTGGGTCACGGCGATTGAGGAGGAGCCGGACGTGTTGGCTGCAGCGAACGGTTGGGGCGTGCCACAGCCAAGCGTGCCCACGCGGCACGGATCGCTCGAGTTTGGGGCCGACGTGCCGCTGGGCCCCGGTGGCAACGCGCGATGGGACACGCCCCAAAGCCACAGACATAACAGCAGCCCCGGTCTCAGCAGGGCGACGCCAGGTCCGGTGCCTGAGGACAAGCGCGTCATGGTGAGGGCCGTCGACTTTGACCTGCGGGCTCGATTCGCTCGACTGCAGGTGGGCACGCGGGGCATCGTGCCAGGGGCACCTGATATGCGGTCGAGAGTGACGCAGATTCACTGGTGAGGCGGTTGCGGTGGAAGCAAGGGAAGGCTTCGTGTGGTGTGGCTTCAGCAGAGGCAGCAAGACGCGTCGCGTTGTTGGGGCTGGAGTGATTGGACCGGGTACGAAGGAACTGATTGACGATAGTTGGCCATGTCTTGAAATCTTGATGATGGACTGGAATGCATCTCAGCGGTTCGACGGATCACGCCGCAGCGCTGCGTGAGAGATCAAGCCGAGGGAGCGGACCGAGGAAGGGGTGGGGGACTGACTTTTCATCAAAGCATGTTTTGGAGTTTGCTGGGAAAGAAGAATATGGCGATGATGCGCGAGCATGCAGGATGTACCTACGGACAGCCATGGCTGGTACCACCGGTGGTCAATACGTTTTTTCTTTTTCTTTTTTTTTTGTATGTGTTCTAACATTTTACTCCAGTGCATGCGAGGGACATGATGACCATGATCAGTGAGTGACCTTGCGTTGCCTTTTAATGTACCTTGCGTCATCCGGCACGATAGCATGACTTGTTAGTCGGGAGATGAAGACGATCGAAATTTCACGATAGAGCTGGAGCTCGGAGCTCCTGAAGACGCCTGAGCTAGTGAGGTTCGGTTGAGTAACAGCAGGGTAAGGTCAGTGGCGAACAGCTGCACGTGTCAAGCCAGCAGCCCGTTGTCTCGGTGGGCGAGGTCCAGGGTCGGCCCCACATGGGACCCCTCCAAAAAGGCAGAAGGCGCCAGCGGATGGGGCGTACAGTCGGGCTAGGGCGCTTCCACCTCGCCTCTCCAGGGACGTTACCCGGTAGAGAAGAAAAAAGAAGAAGAAAAACAATCCCCGATTCGGGGTACTGGTCAGAAAGGGCACGCCTCGCCGCGCGGATCTTCACCTTTGGAGAGGGGGGGGGCAGGAGGGATCAGGGTCCAACCAATGACATCAGCTGGGGGAGCCAATGACACTTGGTGGAGGGTCCCAGAGGGGCAACGGTTGGAGGGGAACAAGAAGATTTTTTTTTTTTGCCCTTCCTTGCCCTTCTCTGTGTTGTCACGCATTCTCTCGCTCGCTCTCATCAGGCTGAGTCCGCTTGCTGCCCAGCTAGCTGGGCTAGCTGCCCCTGGCAACGTAGCTTTTTGGCGGGGAGCCCTCGAGGCCTGCGAGAGCTGGAGGGGGGGGGGAGGGTATTTAAGTGTGTTGGGGCGGAAGGTTGATGGAGGGGTATTAGAGCTCATCACATCTCACCGCATTTCTTGACTGTTCCTTCCCCTCCTGCCTACCAACTTTTTTTTTTTGATTCCTTCACATCGTGACACCTTACTACACCCTCGGCCTTGTTCTTTCTCGAGTACTACGAGAAGGTCCTACACACACACACAGACACATACATTAATACCATTATCCTACAAAATGGCCGAGGAGTCGCCCATCAGCTACGAGCAGCTCGCTGCCATCGAGCGCGAGTTTGAGGATGTCGAGACGGAGATCAGTACGTGTGGTCCCCAGGGCAGGCAGCCGTATTGAGGAACGCAGAGCAACAAAGCTGACAGAAGCGCGCCACAGTCCGCAAGCAGTACGAGCTGACGCGCCCCCTCTACGAGAAGCGCCAGGCCATCATCTCCAAGATTCCCAACTTCTGGCCCCTCGTGCTCGAGCAGGCGCCCCCCGACATTGACGAGTACATCCAGCCCCAGGACTCGGCGCTGCTGCTGGCGGCGCTCAAGAACGTGTCCGTGTCGCGCTTCGACATTGAGAACGGCGCGCAGGGCGACCCGCGCAGCGTGTCGATCAAGCTCGAGTTTGGCGACAACGACTTCTTCGAGGACACGGTCGTCGAGAAGAAGTTCTGGTACCGCCACTCGGACGACTTCACGGGCCTCATCAGCGAGCCCGTGACGCTGCGCTGGAAGGCCGGCAAGGACCTCACCGGCGGCCTGCTCGACCTCGTCAAGAAGGTCTGGGACAGCGACGCGACGGCGTGGAAGGGCGGCAAGGGCGACTCGGCCGAGGCCAAGGCGCTGCGCGCCAAGATGGAGGAGACGGGCATGGGCGGCGTGTCCTTCTTCGCCTGGCTCGGCTACGTCGGCCGCAGGATCACCGAGGCCGAGAGCAAGGCGGCGTTCGAGAAGGAGACGCGCGAGATCCAGATGCGCCTCAACGGCGAGAAGGTCGACGGCGACGAGGAGATGGAGGACGACGACGACGACGAGGATGACGACCTCGAGATCTTCCCCGGCGGCGACGACCTCGCGCAGGCCATCGCCGTCGACCTGTGGCCCGAGGCGCTCAAGTACTTTGCGCAGGCGCAGGAGATGGAGGCCATGAGCGATGTCGAGTTTGAGGACGATGATGACGAGGATGACGAGTAAACTTGTTGCATACGAAGCGGGAAACGCATGGTGTGCGGGGGAGGAGATATGATATCCATGATGAACAACTTGAAGAAGTACAACCACCTTGAAACGTCCGACCTTTTCATCCTTGTGCTTCGTGGCAAGTTAGTCTTGTAGTGTTGCGACTGATGGAAGGTTAGACCCTCCACCAGTCACCCGGCGGTCGGCCCCGCAGCGGAGACCGTGCTTCGGCAGCCGACCGTGGGATACTCAGGGCATCATCGGCCGGCGACCGAAGCGGAATTATGAGCTTCCATCGGACATCGAGACCTCTCTTGTGACTCTGATTAGCAATCGACGACGGATACGCGCAGCCGTTCACCCCTCATGTGTCTTGTTCGGGGCAAGTGGCCTGTCGAGAGCGACTGGCTAGTTCACCTAGGTAAGGTCAGTACCTAGGTAAGGTCAGTACCTAGGTAAGGTCAGTACCTAGGTAAGGTCAGTACCTAGGTAAGGTCAGTACCTAGCTACCTTACCTAGTGAAGGCGAGTGCCAGAAACGAGCGAGTCTGGATTGGGATGATGTCACAAGTACGGACAGGAAGGCGCCCCGGCGATACGACTGGGGTCGCGGCTTCCCTACCCGTCGCAACCCCAGTGCGCCTGCCCAATGACAGCATTCCGAATAGACATCGTCGACCAGGTGCTTGACCAGGTGCAACTCGACCAGAGCGAAAAGTGATCGATTGGTAATCTCCTCTCCTCTTGCATCGTGGCCTTCCTCCGTCAGACTGCATCATCATCTGCGCGGGTGTGTAAGTCTTACCTAGGACTGACCATGGCTCCTAGGCGAGTGAGACGGCGAAGGCGAGCCGAATGCGTTACGCTCGATTGACGTATATAAACCGACCGTCTGGCCGCTTCTCCAACGGCTCCAATACGCCGGTCATCACCACAGTACGATGAGATTACTTGCCTCGGCTACAGCAGCTAAATTGATCACCCTTTCCCGACCATCATTGAAACCAATCCCCCTACCTGTCTCGCGATACCACCGACTGTCTACCTCGACAGCAGCTGCAACCATGGCGACGGCTTACAAGATTCACGTCTCCAAGACCAACACGGGCCTCCTCAAGCTTGATCAGCCCGAGGCTACGGCGGCCAGAACGACAGAGCTGCTCCAGTCAGATCTCGAGGTATGTCGGCGCCGCCTCTGTTCGCCCTGTGCGTCAGCTGATCATTCCAGAACCACCACGTCTTCTTCAATCAATCAGGGTACCACAATCATGTGAGAGTCTTCACTCCCACTATTCAAACACTACTAACACGTCCAGATTGTGCACCATCTCCTCGCCCTCTACGGCACAGGCGCATCCCCCGACTCACTCAATAGGGCCTATGAGACCAACAAGTCGTACCAGCGTGCTGCCCAGCCGATACATCCCGCCCTTGCCGATTCCCTTGCAACGTCTTGGTCTGAGACGGCCCCTCGCCTCCTCGGGAAAGAGGCCTACTATCCAGACTTTCTGCTCTTCTTCCAGCGTGAGCTCGAATCCCGCGGCATCGGTCCTGTCCTGAAGGAATTCATCTTTGCAAAGGATGACCGCGCAGAAGATCTCTTGCAGCGGCTCTTCGCCGGGTTCCTCCACCCGCTCATCCAGCTCATGTACGGCATTGAGTGGGAGCAGCCCGCCATTGTTGCCGAGGGGCTTGCGCAGGCCGCTGTGCACAAGAATCAGCTTGCCCCCTTCCTCAAGGAGACGGAAGAGGGCGCAGCTGGCGATATGCCCTCGATCCAAGAGCTGCATGAAGCCATTGCGAACAACGAAGAGTTGCGGAACGCCGCGAGGCCTGGGGACGACAACAAGGTCTATGACGGCGTGCTCATCAGGGCACCGGAGGAGATGAAGGCGATTGCGAAGCGGGTCAAGATCAAGACCGACGAGCTTGATGAGAGGACGGCTGAAATGTTCGAGACTACGTTTTGGGTTGCCGCTGGCGCAGCACTGAGGAAGGGCAAGGATGCGAAATGGGACTTCTTCCTCATGTGAGTAGCGACTCGATGGCCGTTCACATCCAAAAGAGAAGAACGAACTAACTTCTGCAGCCACCACACGAACGCGGCCCCCTTCTTTGTGGCGTTGAACAAGACCGACTGGATCTCAGTCGAGGACAAGGTGCGCATTCTCGAGTACAAGATCCGCCTCGACCTCGTGCAGAATGCCGCCAGGGGCACCCCCGAGATCCGCTTTGATGCCATCGCGGCCTACAGACCCAAGGATCTCAACCGCGGAAAGGCACTCGTGGCGCGACCTGAAGACCTGCTGCCGCGCTTCCACGCCATCGACGATGACGGCCACACTGTCAAGGTCGCTCGTTCCCTCGCGGTGTGTCGGGAGCTGTGCGAGCCGTATGCCGATCGGCCCTGGAAAAAGGTGAAGAGTGATGATGTTTGGCTCAAAATGCACTATACGCTGCTGGATGGCACAGAGGGCGGAGAAGAGGAAGGCGGTCGATGGGTGCGCGCCGCGGGCTTCGACGAAAGCTGGGAGGTACGTATCGAACAAATTCATGCTCTACAAACACGTCTAACAGCATACAGGATGTCCCCAACCGGTTGTGAGATTCGCCATGGGAAATTGTACACGGGGTATATTAGTTGCCGTCTTAGTCTAGCCCAATCCAACCGTCCTCATCCGATCCATCGTCTGAGCCCTCCGCCGCCACTGCTGCCGTGATGACCTTGCTCTTTTCCGGTGCCGCCTCCAATGCCAGCTGTCCCTCGCCCACGGGCCCCTTGGCCTGTCCCAGCAGATAGTCGACCATGTAGACGTTGTCGTCGGCCAGCCTGCGAATCTCATCGCGCATGCGCGATACGGCTCGGGAGACGACACGCAGCTCAACGTCGACCTTGGCGCGGTTCTGCGTCAGCCACGCGCCGTGCTTGTCGACGAGGGCCTTGATCCACAGCAGGCAGAACTCCATGTGGGGCGTCTCTTCCGTCTGCGCGGCCACGAAACGCACGAGGCGCGGGACGTAGACGATGGGCAGACCGCCGACGACGAGGGCAATGTCAGCGTGCGGCACGCCGAGGAAGACGCGCTTGAGGAGGTTGGCCTCGTTGAGGCGGAAGGCCATGACGAGGGCCTTGAGGTAGTCCCTGTCGTCGAGGACGGCGAGGGTCGACGCGGGGGTGATCTCCATGGCCAGGTCAAAGGGGTCAAAGGCCAGGACGTCGTCGAGGCTGTAGACGAGGAGGCCCTCGGTCGAGGCGGCGCAGAAGGCGTTGCCGGCGGGCGAGAAGGCGACGCCGGTGACGCGGACCTCGGGGGCGCGACGGCGCGCGGACGGGTCGCCGCCGCGGCGGGCGCCGGGCAGGGCCTTGTCGCGGCGGTCGTCGCGGTCCGAGGCCTCGCCCGAA